AAGCTAATGAAAATGACAAAAGACACATAAAAGACAAACTAAAATTTTACATTAAAATGAAAAACATAAAACAAAAGCTAATTCATAACATTAATAAATACAATAATAGAATGCAAATAATACTAAAACAACAACAAAACCAAGGCAGGATGCACTATGACAAACAGTGTGGAGTCATGAAAAAGTTTTTTTTATTTTTTTTATAAATTATTTTATATATCTTTTTGAAATTATTTAAATGAATTAAGCAAAAATATTTCACCCAATATTTGTGTGCTATACCTAATATTGTACATTATAGACATGCTTACTTTCTTACTGCATCGGAGTAATAGTTTAGCAACATGCTAACACCAAACTCCATTCTAATCAGCTGTGAGGTTTAGTCGAGTCTCTTGAGTGCTTTATAAGAGGAGCACTATGCTTGTGGGACCCATGTAAAGCTTTTCAATAAGTCAATTAAGAGGTCCGATTTTGGTTAGGATGCTGCCTCAGAAGGTAAGTTGCCTATTTAAGACAGCGAGGAAGCTCACTAGGGTTTGGAACTGAGCCCAGCTGAGCCATAACAATGGCATCCAGCTCACTGTACAAACAGTCAAGTGCTACAATAAAGAATTAGCAGGTAGTACCTGTGCTTCTGGCAGAGCGACATCCATTATATTTGGCTGGCTACGTGGCTCTCCGTTCTCCAGGCGGGAGTATATGACCTGGTATCCCCGGATCTGGCCGTGCTGCTTCCCAGAAAGAGGTGGCTTCCATGTCACACGAATAGCTGTGGAGTTCACAGCCTCTACTTCGACTTTCCGAGGTGGAGCTCCAGGCACTAAAAGGGAGCAATTAGATTTCAACTTCAGGATGGAGGCTTTTAGGATAGCTTGAGATAAAACCCCCTAATAAGTGCTAAAGAGTTTGGCTGAGGAGAGGTATTTATTTAATAATATTTGTTGGTTAAAGAACATTTATCATGCTGGGAGAAAAGCTAATGTGGCTTCAGTAAGAAGATTGTTCACAACAATTCAAGGATGCAGAAGACCGTGCAAAAATCTGCTAAAAATAAGAACTGCTAAAAGACTGATGAGGATGTGCAGAAATGCTGCTCAGCTGACATGCTTCAGATCAATGAATTGACTGATTGTGGCCTCATAGGAATATCGTGAAAAAAGCTGACCAGAGGGGGGAAACTCATGACACTAGTTCTAGGGAAGCTGATGAGACCAAGGTATAGACAAACAGGCCTGAAGGCGATGTAAGACGTGAGAGAAGGAGAATCAGAGGAATGAAGAATGAGAAAGAATGATTTGAGATATATAGAGAGAGAAAGGGAAAGAGATGAATGAATGAAGAAGCTAGTGGACCAAGATTCACTACTGGTCAAAAGTTTGGAATAATTATGATTTTTTTTCTTCTGTCTAATGCTCACCAAGGCTGCATTTATTTGATGAAAAATACAGTAATATTGTGAAATATTATTACAATTTAAAACAACTGTTTTCTATTTGCATATATTTAAAATCAGTAACAAAAATCAGTATTCCAAACTTTTGACCAGTTAGTATAACTGCACTTCTTGAGCACTAAGGAAGGTGTGAAGGCCAAAATGTGGCCTGGGAGAAAGGAGGCAGGGTGCTTGTGTATGCTTACAGGACAAGCCATGCATGCTCCAGGGAGCAGAGCAAATCCTGTTATTTAGAGACAAAGCGCATGTTGCTGGTAAAAGACCATGCAGTGAGCACATCCGGTCTTATACTGCTCTCCTATGTTTAATAAGCTTCTCTCCTTAGCCTACACTTCTAGAAAACATATCAAAGCACTCAGGGATTTCCTCAGGTAACACGTGTTATAGCCTGGCTATGAAACTTGTGCAAACACACACACAAAATTGGCTGTAGCACAACTGAGGAAGGACAGAAAGTGAGTAAGAGTGAGTAACTGTGTTGAGGACTGATGTCTGTGACTGCATGTCTAGGTCAGGGGTTTTTGAACTTTTTGAGGTTAAGGACCCCAAAATATGATAATTCCATTGCAAATGAGTCCTTTCTAAAATATTTTCATGTAGACCCATGTTTCATTTATACTATGTGAGAAAAATAGTAAGCATGATATAATAGTATGTACAACATGTTGCTTAAATGATTTGTTTTTACATTATTACTGAACTTCTAAAATAGAAATATTTTGTAGCGACATAAAATGTCTTTGCTCTATTTCTTTTTTTGATCAATTTTATGCATCATTGCTGTATAAAATCAATGTATTACTGACTCCAAACTGTTGAATGATAGCGTAAAAAAATGTACAATACATTTTTTATTAATATATTATTTTAAATATTATTATTATTACAAAATATAATTTTGTACAAAAATGTATGCATATTTATCTTGTATTTCTGATTAAAAATACATTTTGTAATGATTTAATCTTCTCAAATTTTCCTGGGAACCCCCTGCAGCCCTCTGGGGGTCCCCTAAACCCAAGTCTGAAAACCCCTGATCTAGTCAACATGGTTAACAGCTGGATTTCCTGGAAAGCTGTGTCTGTTGTTTGATTAAAGTATAGGACAATTAGACCATCTTTCAATGATAAGATGACTCTGAGCTTTGGTCCACTGATTTTACGGTGCTTAAAGAGGATGTCTCTGTGATATTGCTCCCACCTCGCTTATATAAGGTAATGCTCCATCTACCAAGTTCAGTCAGGAGAAGACACAGCTTTCAGGTCCAGGTTCAGTCAAGGTTAGGTGACATGCTGGTTTCTTTAAATGCCTTTATGAGCAAGTTCACTTATATCAGTATGACCTTCTAGCCTTGACATATTTAAAGTATGACTTAAGTACTGATCATACCACACCATTTGATGAGAAAGGTTTCACAAATAAGGAAATTAAGTCACAAACACTTCAGACTGTAGGATCTAAAGTAAATCCTTGCGAAACCAACTCATAGAGGATACTGTTCATTTCCATTTGTATCTTTTCATTCTAGTGGGAGTCTATTTCAGTCATGAATAGGAATAATTGTTAGCCATGCTTAAAAGAAGGTAAATAAAATTGTTAGAAAAAAGGGAAGAGAAAGACAGCAGCCCAATTATTAGCAGTCCACATGGGATAGTTCAGACCTACCGTCCTCGTTGGTACGGACACGCACAGCTGTGCTCTCTGGGCCGGGGCCCACATCGGTGTGTGCTCTCACCCACACCTGATACTCTGTCCACTTCTCCAACGCCTCCAGCACACAGCTGCTGGCATCTGCTCCAATGTCCGGTACCTCATGGCGCTCAGAGTCTTCACCGTTCACTGCCTGGTAGCTGACTGTGTAGCGCACAATAGCGCCGTGGCACCATTAACAGAAATTCATTGCATTTTAAAATTCAATAAAATAGAAAAGTTATTTTAAATTGTAATAATACTTCATAATACTACTGCAATATTAATGCAGCTTTGGTGAGCCTAAGAAGCTTCTTTCAAAAAAATAAAAATAAAAAAAATAATTTTAAATATCACCAAAATGACTCCTTGTCTCAAAACATTAATAAAAGTCGCAGCAACAATGACAAACATGCTAAATTTGGTGACAAAATCCATGAGATCATGTGGTATTTTTTGGGTCTTTTTTTCTGGAGAAAAAAACATTTGGTGGAAATGAGATATTGAAGTAATTTCTTATGGAAGATGCTGATGCGAGTTCATCGGCTAGCAGGTCTAGTATTATGCACCTAGTTTAAAATGAATCTAGATTAAACTGGATTGAATATCACATGCCTCTTGAGCAGCGAAGGGTACCATAGTGATGGACATCTGTTCTGAATGTGTGCTTAACCTGAAGA